GAAAGCACAGATCTGTCTGATGAGCACGACTATTATTCTCATTATGTCTAAACAGAGAATGGGAGAGTCTTATTGGGGCTATTACCTTTAGACACATCAAACACGGCAATGCACGCATGCTTTAATGTTCAGATAATAAAGTGCTGTGTACAAGCACACGAGTTCTGTGATGGGTCAGCTTATGGGTGTCACCAGGGCCAGACGGTATCTGGAGACTCTTTTCTGTGATTTTTATTTTGTTGGATATCTGTGGAAGGGATTTAAATGTGGTAAAAGGTGTTAATTAGATCTGAGAGCACTCTTTGAGGAAGCTGAAAGAAGAATCCAATTTAATAAATTAACAGAATATTTAATAAATTAGCATACAGTACAAGGGGCTCTTTATGAATGATGGGTGTTCCAATTCTATGGAAATATTTGGAACTTTTGCAGAATGCTGCTGTCAAGCTGCTGTTTTGAAGAAGTAGTTAGTTGCACTATACAAACACAAAAATAGCCAACTGTAGACTTTAGTCAGGGCAGTGCCATATTTAATTTTTGCAACTTTCAGTAGACAAAAACTTAATAAAAGTTTTACATATTGTGAGTTGTGAAAATTACGCAATCTATGACCTTCAGGGATAGTGTGTGCCATTAGACTGTAAGTTAAATTGTAAGTTGTATGTTAAATTCAACATGATGCCTAACATGATTAAGGTCTATATTGAAGATAACTAACATATATGTTTTTATAATTAAAATATATAAATATCCCATGATACTTCATTATTTTTTCCCTCATTCAACAGTGATGAAGGGTTTACAAACAATGGACAATCTATTGTGGACATACATTTATACTTAATACAACGAACATTACATAACCAAGTCAAAAACTTATACAGGAACTAGAATTGGTGACTCTTTCTGTTGAATTTGGTTCAATTAAATGAATTGATGAATTAAATGTATTGTCTGAATGAACTAATACACAATAATTAATCTAACATTCCAATGCTACATATGAGAGCGAATCATTATGAACCGAATCACTGAAATGAATAGGACATTTCAACTCTATATATGAGAGTGAAGGACCTTTTTGTATTAAATGATTTACTACAATTAATCCAAGTCAAACTTTCCTGTACTACGTACAAAAAATATTCTTGTAGCTTCATAAAATTAGGGTTGAACCACTGATGTCGCATTTTAACGATGTCCATATTCTGGACCTTAAGCACTGCTGTCTATGCAGGGTAAGAAAGCTCTCGGATTTCATCAAAAATATCTTAATTTGTGTTCCAAAGATGAACAGAGGTCTTATCGGTTTGGAGGGTGAGTAATTAATGACAGAGTTTAATTTTTGGGGTGAACTATCCCTTTAAGGGTGAACCTATTCGCTAAAATGAATCAGACTCCCCGACACTGCATGTGAGAGTGATGAAGATGAGGGATGATAAGGACAAGTTCATAAGGATAAGTTGATTCACTTCATTTAAGTGAGCTAACTTTCCTATGCTACATATGAGAGAGCGATAGAGGACCATTGAGGTGAGCCTGTTTGATTATTCTCCCAGCTTAGACATTTACAACAGCCTTTCATAAATTAGCTTTGTTACTGGAAAGCTACACTATTATGAAAGTAGCTGAACTGTAATAAACTCACTTGCCTCATGCCAGATTCCCGGTGTCCATTACTTAGGTTGTGTGTGTGTGTGTGTGCGCGTTTTTGTGACAAATGAGGACATAAATTTGTATAATGACAAAGGTATGACATACTGTAGGTATTACAAGGAGAAGGTGACTTTTCAGGACATTACCCCACGTCCCCACTTTTCAAAACGCTTATAAATCACACAGAATGGAGTGTATTGAAAATCTGAAATAGCACAAAGTGTCTTGTGAGGGGTAGGTTTAGGGGTAGGGTTGGTGTAGGGCAATAGAATATACGGTCTGTACAGTATAAAAACCATTACGCCTATGGGATGTCCCCACTTTTCACAAATGTAAACCTGTGTGTGTGTGTGTGTGTGTGGTGTGGCAGTGGCACATGTGCAAGCTCAACTATTTGTATATGTTTTGGGTGAGCGCAATTAGAATGAGGCTCAAGTTGAGAGTAGTGACAGGAAAATACTGCAGGTCAGGATCCATCAGCTCCATGATTAGCTGTGATTTAACTAGAGAGCAGGTGTTTGCGTGCAGAGCTCTGGACAGGTGTGCAACCACAAACACAGAAAGGGACAGAAAGGAAGTTAGCATTTTTAAATTTCATTTGAAGAGGTCAATCTGTTGACAAATGTCAGACATCATTTTTACAAATGTAGTATTTTATTTGAATATGATAAATTGTTTCTTAAATAAGGAAATAGGTCACAAAAGTAAAAAAAAAGAAGAAGAGTAAATGCATCTGTATTTCAGGCTAAAGCTTTTAAAAGAAGCATTGTCTTAAATATCTAGTAAGAAAAAAAACATCTTAGTATTTAATTTCCCCCATAGACCGGGTGAGGTAGTAGCAAAAATCCCCGGCGTGAAATCACAAAGTGAAACATTACACTGTTAAAGCTATGACAACACAAACAAACACATAGACTCCATAACCCGCAGGTTGACAGAGGGTTCATTGCGGATGTCTGTGCTATAAATGTTACCATTTCATCAGTTGCAGCAGAGAAACACGCTCACATCCACACACATCCACTCAGATGTAGGAAACAATTTCATTTGGATTTTCACAGCCACTGTTGGGGTTTCAGATATTTGCATGTGCTGACTCGGTGTGAGAACTCTCTTTCACAGAAACTGAATCATTACAGGAGAAAGCTTTCATATCATGCATATGAACTTCAACTGAGCTCTTGAAGCAAACGTTTTAGACATTACAAATGCTTCAGCTGAATGGCATGTCACTGAATGCTTGGACTTTCTTTCACTTGATTGATGTGGCCAATTTTACTGCAGTTTTCTGCCTTCCCAGAATTACCATGCACACACACACACACACACACACACACACACACACAGAAGTAGGCACGTACACGCTCACATTCTCATACTTTACATTTGAGTTTCAGTTAAGTGAATAAATGCATGTAACGTTTAATTTTAACAGAAAATATTTAGGAGTAATACTTTGTGTCGGAGTTCAAATGTGCCTTTATGTGCAGTGCACATACGCAACTGATTTTCAACATTTCCACTTGTATTTGGTGGAAAACAAAACAAAACGGCTAAGAACTGTAAAATAAACAAACAAAAATTGAGCTAAAAAAACAGCAAAAATTATTACAACATAAAAAAAATTAAGCTAAAATAAACAAAAATCACAAAAAATATATTTTAATTTAAATATCCCTGTAACAAAGGCCTCAATTGGGCATCCAGCATACCTACTTTCAACTCTTTCGGCTTTCAGCACATTCTGAAGAAAAATCACTGTTATTTGCTCTGATTGGTAATGGGCTAATAAGGGACTGGAATGGACTTTATCAAAGGCTTCATACACATGAAAGGGCTTATAGAATTTATAGACCAGAGAGCCTTGCTTACTAGGGAAGGAGATGTTTTCCTTTGTTCTGGATGGGACATACTCACTCTCATTGCCCTTGATGGGAAACCGTAGAATAAAGACTAAATACTCAGAAGCCCAGATGTTTGCACACACTATATGCAGCTGTAGGGAGAGGTGACGTTTGGGTCATGCTGTAATGACACACTTTGTTCTGTCCGAACCCTAATGCTTGTGTTTTTGGCATACTTCTACACAGAAAAGCGGGAAATCATGCAGCAATATGGCAAATGTAAATAAAAGGGTGTACATTTGTGAATGCAGTCTGGAATACACCAATAAGTGTGTACTCGAAGTTGGTGCAGCAGTTGATCAGTTTTATCTAAATTGCAATAAATACATTCCTATCTATTACCAGATACAGCCATTTAATGGCCATTCAATATATAAGACAAAACATTTCTGATTATATAACTTTCTCTAAAATTCATTAGAAGTCTATGAAAGTAGACTGTGTCTCAGTAGATTTCCAGTTTATCAGCATGACCACCCCCCCCGCATTTGTAATATATCTTTGTTAAGCATTATAACTGTGCATACCGTAACAGACACAAGTACTTTCTTCACTACATATAAAAGACTATCATAATATTCACAAATAAATGCATTCATAAGTGCTTCATACTCTCAGTATATTTTGAAGCCATATGTGGACTCTCAGAGCAATAGAGAGATATACAGTACAAGCAGTCAGAAATATGAGTGAGCAGACCGCCGTCTCACTTCCAAACTATCAGTTTGAGTATAACTACACATCACAGATCTCTAGTCCATTGCCATAAGTGTGTGATCAACACAGACCATTCAACAGCCAACCTCCCAGTGAGGTTGGTTTATTGCTGCAGAAGAAAAAAGTGGTCTGGTTCAATTCAAACCTCCACTAAACTAGGAAACATATGGAATGTCCCATTTAGTTTCCTTGACAGCAGAAAAGCAAATTTCAATCTAGTCAAGCATCTCACAAATGCTCTGAAACCCATGGCCAGGTTTGCGCACACTTGTGTCATGAGTTAACGGGTTCATGTAATCTTTAATGAAGAGGAGGTATACATATTTTACTTGCTGTCCATGTTAAAGGATTTGAGCTGAAGAACAAAAGTAAGATTTCCTTGACTGGTTTTTGTGGTAATCAATCAAGAAGGTGGAGCTGGGGTGGTGGAGGAATGCTGGAAGAACTGTCAAAGGCACTTATGTATGCTTGTTCAGGCACTGATTGGTCATATTAAATGGACATATTCCTCCTAAACGTTTTTTCGGAACTCCATGTGGGAGCCCAGACTTTAAGAAAGGGATTTATCCATCACAACTAAGCCAGGTAAGACTGGCAGATCATCCTCAACACCTTTTTCCTTATCACAACCTCCAAACTTCTCACAATTCTAATAGTTGTCTAGCCAACACATTAACAATCCTCAACCTTCTTCAATTTCCACTTTGTCTTCTCAGTCTCCTTCTTGCTATCAGTGTTTTTTGCAGGTGTAGACCTCTTCCTCTCGGAGGCAGGTTTGACACTCGACGTGACAGCACCAGCGGACCTGGCAGTGGCAGGAGAGGGTGGTGAGGTGGAGGGCCGTGTTGTAGCCCCGTCCACAGCACAGGCTGCTGCAGCTGGTGTCCTTTGAACACGGTCTGCCAGCCGTCCCGGGGGAGTAGCGCGATGGCCTGCAAAAGCTGGGTGACTCCTCCAGAAATACCAGCTCGGTGGGCCGCAGACGGGGACCTGTGTTGCTGTGGCGCCGTGGGTTTGCCAGCTCGATCTCTCCAGTGGCGGAGTTGGTAACACTATGCCCTCGAATGGCTGTGTCATAGCGGTACTTCAGCAGATGGCCTGTGTCTTGAAACGGGGAGAGCTGCTTCCAGCATGTTCTCACAGCACAAGAACCGGAGACACCGTGACACTTACAAGTAGTCTTAAGACCACTCTTCACCGCCTGAGAGGAAATGAAAAGACAGTGGTGAAGACATGAACACAGTACGCCAAATACAACACTATGATCCTGTGAAAAGGAAACAGGAACTTTCTGAGGAGAGGAAGTTCAATATTCAATATGGGATGCTGAAGTTTGGTCTCGCTTATTGGATTGGCTATGACCTTTTCACATGGATATTTGGTACTGAAGAAGATTTTAAAAAGAAACAATACATTTTTATAAAGCTATTCACACTTCAGCGATTGTGTTGATTTTTTTTTTCATGTCCGGTGATGAAATGCACCAGCCAATAAGATATATATTTTGGTAACACTTTATTTTAAGGTGTCCTTGTTAAACATGTTACATGTACAGTACTTACTATTATAATAACAATAAATTATGCATAATTACATGCAAGTAACCATAAGCCAAACCCTAATGCAAGCCCTAACCATATAGTAAGTTATATGTAATGTAGTTACAGTACTTACTATTATAATAACAATAAATTATGCATAATTACATGCAAGTAACCATAAGCCAAACCCTAATGCTAACCCTAACCATATAGTAAGTTGTATGTAATGTAGTTAATTAATATTACTCAGTACTTAAATATATAATTACACTGTAACAAGGACACCTTAAAATGAAGTGTAACCTAAGCTTTTAGTCATATGTCCAAAGCCCAAGTCTGATAATTACTGTGAATCAAATTTGAGTTTACTCGAGATTCCCTAGTTTACCGCACTAATCATGAGTGGTTTCACACTTGGTGTGAACAGGGCTTTCGTTGGTGATTTATTTTAATTTATTCCATATTGCATTGGTGTAAAAGGGCCCTAGATAAGTGGTTCTCAACCAAGGGACCGCGGGTGACTAGGGGACCTCAGCAAACTTCCAAGGGGGCCTCACCTTGACTTAAAATTCCTTCAAATGAAACAAAACAATTCAAGATATTTCTTTTTTATTCGCACTCTCAAAAACTGATTTTTTTTCTTTGAGGAAGCAGGATTCCTGTGGCCTTGGAAAATGGGGATATATGAGGTACCTTAGTTTTAAGAGTAGAATTTCTAGACCTAAAAAGTCATGTAAATTAAAATCTTAAAGCTCCATGGGCTTTGAATGTACAAATGAATATGTTTTTTTAATGTTAAATCGGTTAGATATTGTGAGTAAGTGTATTTTTAAAATCCTTCTTCTCGATTCTTAAACAAAAATCATGAACAACTGAAAAAATCATGGGGCCTTCAAATATCGTTGTGGACAGTTGGGAGCCTTAGAGTCCAAAACGTTGGGAACCACTGGCCTAGAGAGAACTATTTTACATGGTTGGGAAGTCACATTAATATATTGCTATTGATTATCTCCCCAAAAGTGGGGAGGGAAATGAACATAGAAGTTGTAAAAGTGGAACAGCATGTTATCCAAAATTATAAGTTGTTCAAGTAATTCTGCTGATACTCTGGGACTCCATAGCCCTGAGCTAAAAACATTGGGTTGACATGGTGTAGATGATGGATGCAGGGGGAATGCCTGAGCTGGCGGTCTTTCAACTCTGACCTGCACCTCTTGAAGACCACCATCCCTGATCTATGCTCAGATCGGCACATCTTTGTTCTGTTACTCTCTCGCACTCCTTTTTCAATTTCGAAGTATTGGTACTCTGAGTTTGGGAGCCAAATCACATTATTTACTTGTTGACTGTTGATCTATTTCTCCTATTCATGCTCCTCTCTTCATTTGACATATGGAGGCAGCTGCAGAGCAAATCAGTCTATCTAAAAGGGCCCAAGGGGAGATGGGGAGGTCAAATGGTCGATGGGGGTGTTCCACCCTACACAGGTATGAGCTCCCACCCCAGGGCCACATGAGCAATACAGAGAAGAAGTGAGGAAACGGAGAGAATCTGAAAGGGGAGTGGAAAACAAGACCTCAGCCACCTTTGCTTGTTTTTGTTAACCGCCATCTGTGGCCTGAGGTGTCAACTGTGGGAAACAACAAAACTGGAGACTGATAAGATAAGATCCGAGTTTGTCCAGCCGTTCTTTTCTTACTCTTTCTGTGAACCTCGTAAACCCTCCCCCTTTTTCGTTCCCTCTGTCTTACTCTGAGGCTGCCAGTCTCCTGGTAACAGAACTGTTTTGAGGGATGTTATGAGGATTTATGAAGGTCTGAGTGGCGGCAGCGGCAGCGGCAGCAGTAAGACTGGTAGAGCGGGAGGCATACAGTAAGTGGAAAAAATGCTCGTATATTACAGAGGCCTCTGCATAATCGCCCTCATGGGAGACCTCTAATTTTGAAGAGGGCCTCCACAGCAAGCGCTGTCATGCCTGGACCAGGTGAAGGAACACCTGGCTCTAGAGAGCTGGCCAATACCTGCTCACCTACCTGCCTCACCCCACTCGCTGAACTCTCCTTTGGGCAACAATGAACTTGAAGACCGCACCCCATCAACCAAGAGAGGACTGTATAGTGTGTGTGAGAGAGTTAACCCTTACAGATGTTCTCTATACAAGCTTTGGAGGACACTGGATCATGCAGACTACACTCTTAGAAGAATCCATGGAACCCTTCAGTTCTACTAAATGATCTTTATAGTGCAAAAGGTCGTTTATATTATTTACATGTTCTGCAAATTAAGACAAAAATATTTTTTTTTAAAGAATGGTTCACTGGGGAACCATCGTCCCCCCACCTTTGTAAACTTTACTCTTAAAAGCGTAGGCCTACATGATATTATTATTATTATTATTTTTAAATAGGCCGCTTAATATTTTGCGTCTTACCCGGATGCCGACGTTAATGTTGTGAGCGTCGATTTGGGCACGCAGGTCCTTGCTGACCCGTTTTTGCCCCAAGAATTTCTTGAGAAACTTAGTGCTGTATTTGAGGTTGTCCCCGCATACGCCCCACTGCCAGGCCTCGCGGTGCTGCAGCCCAGGAGAATCGTCGCAGGTGCAGCGCTCCATGCGCCCCGAGCTGCACGCTTTGGCCAGCGCGTGAGACAACGCTGCTGATGACACCGCGAGCAGGAAGGCCGTCTCTTTAAAGCCTGGTGAAGTGATGCATTCATAAAAAGTCGTACACATAAATAAAACCAGCCTATTAGCGCTTTTGAACCATGTTTTAAATAACGTGCATTGAAATAAGAGTACGAACGTAATAAAAGATTTGATGTAATAGGTCACCTCATAGGGGCGACATGAGGAGTTCACATTACAAGCTAAATACTAAGCACTTTGTAGGAATTAACTAATAGGCCTATAATAAAAACAATAATCTCTGATTGCAAATAATGCAATTCTGAAACAGTTTTGATAACTGATAACAAAGTGGATATGAGTAGCTATAGAAATATGTCCACAGTAACATAAATATAGCCTACTGGATCTTTGTTTGTAGCTATGCGTTATCTTTCATTTGAAATACATTTCTATTACCATATTTATTATTTAAAACTCGACTTTAAACGGAAAGGCCACCCTTATCATGCCTGTAGGTATAATGCAAACCCTACCATGAACTATAGCCTACAACTTTTCCAATGAAGTGCTAAGTGCAGTATTTTGTCACGATCCTTTATTAAGCATAATCCCTTGCAACCTCCTCGTATTATTGTTTGCTTAGATCAGAGCTGAGGCAAGGCGTGTATTTTGATCCAATTAATTATTATTTTGACTAGGTTTTCTGTCAGATGAAAGCGCGCGACCACGCCGCCCTTTTCCTCTGAGAACTGGGCGCTTTTCCGCGAGATAAAAATACTTCAACTGGCCCCGCGAGGCCTCACCGCACAGGGATTCCGCGCTTCCCAAGTCCCTAATTACCAGCGGACTGACCTACGCATGGCTTTCACATTCACATCCTGCGCATGTTCGTTTGGAAGCAGGCACCACATGGAGGTTTCTGCATAGTTGTTAATGCTAAAACATTCCCTTTCTGACAATATACAAGTAGTACTGACTAATTTAAGGCTACCAAACAGCAAATTGTACAATTGTGTTTTGTGGGGTTTAAACTCACAAGATTCGGTCATTTCTTTCTGTTCCATGTTAACATGAAACAATTGCTTCAACAATGAAACAGTTTTTATATTTTTTACTATGTGATATTATATGTTCCTAACGAAACAAACATGAAATAACTTTTTTATTTCATTTTAATTAATTATAAATTGTTTTGTTTTCCTTCTCCTGTCATCAACTCTGTTTCTAGTTAAACAAAGACTAGTAGCCTATCTATCTATCTATCTATCTATCTATCTATCTGTCTGTCTATCTGTCTGTCTGTCTTTAAATGGACATACCATTTTATTTGGAAAAAAACATCTTATTAAAATTATGAACAATTCCATAAACGACAACTTGTAGTTTCATGACCTTGAGCGCAAGGCTAAAAATGGCTGAACTGTCAACCTTATCATATTCCAACATATTGTAAAACATTTCACAAAACATTTGTACATTTAGCTTGAGATGGTAAAAGCAATGTTAATAACACTTAATATTTGTTTCAAATTGTACAGAAATTTGCTTTTTAAAATCAAGTTTTCAGAATGGAACACCAATATTGTGAGAAGGGTGTCATATATCTTACCTCGTTTTAAAAGGCTTCCACGGCCATCCATACTACAGTTCCAGCGCTCGTTGCGGAACTGATAGCGGCACTCCAGGAGGCTGAGACGGACAGATTCCCTCAGAGTCTCCGCCAGCCCCGGTTCTCGCCGGCACAAGCGCTTTTGCCGGCGCGTCAAAGTCATCTGCTCGCATTGCTTCAGGTGCGCTTTACCGTTCGGAGGCTCGTTGGCAAAAGGACCGGGCAGAAAGACCAGTGGCTCGCGACCTGTAAGGCTAACGATAACATGCACACTACAGTCACTAAAACGACTTATTCTGAAACCTCTCATTTATTTTTCAGCAGGGGGTTCATTTTGATTGGTTCACAAACACCATATATTTAGAATACACTAAAATAGACCTTCAAGACATTTTAGAACATCAGACAGAGTGTAAAACGTTTTCATCATAATGTTATAAAACATCTTCAGATTAACTTGTCACAATTATTTATCTCACCCCAATTTCCAATACGTTTTCAGAGTTTAAACGTTGGCACTAAAGTTACTGTATTTGAAAACTTAAGGCAACAAATTAACTTTTTTTTTCTAGAATGCCCGAGTGATGACACATGTGCTTTGAATATGTGTTTAAATACCTAATTTGAATAGTCTTGTTTGAATAAATAATGCACAAAACTACACGTGCTCTTTCCCCAGTCATTCAGTCTGAGCGCCCTTGACTTTTGGAAACACTACTGTGGCGCTTAACAAACTTAAGTAAGCACTCTTAAATAAAAACCAATTGCAGAGTGTTTTTACGTGTTTATAGGATTCTTATTATAAACACTAGTGGGGCAACGTCCTATGAGCGTAAGCCAGAAAGATCTTAATTATCAGGTAGTGCGAGGGCAAGGACGCGGTGCCAAACCATCGGAAGACATCTGGATCCATACACTGCGCTGCGCTCAACGCCAATAATCGACCAGAAGCACACTATTGAAATTTTTTAGACACATCAGTGTTTTAAAAACAATAACAACAACAAAAAAAAACATAAATTACATCGAATTGTGTTACTTGCAGCTACTTTTTAAGAGCAGACAAAAGGTCTTCCTTATTTAAATGATTCATTTTAGATCTTTTTAAAATACCACATTAAACAAATAATTATTTAATTTAGCCTCATTTGATTATTTGTAACAGACAACCTGCAATGTAGGTTTTAAACGTGATTGTTAAACATATAACCAATAACAAGATATGCGTAATTGCGCATGGGACATCCAACATCACCAAATATCTCCACCTGTTGCCGCAACTTAAAATGATTCGATTCCATGTGAAATACAACAATAATGCAGTCAGAGGCTATTTCCATGAATTCAGAAAAGATAGAGGATATAAAAGTCTCTGCTGACCCGAAATAGGCTGCTGCGTGGGAAAGAAGGATGCAGAGGGCAAAAAGTCGCAGCGGACAGGCAGTCCTCGGAAGCCCGGTGCACATGATGACGGGTCGACCCTGCTCTTCATTGCGCTATCTGTCCGTGTTGAAATCCCAGCTGTGCTGGACAGCTCAACTTCTTAAAGGGGCAGAAACTCATTTTAGCCCTTGGGGAGGCGCGGTCCCGAGAGGGGTGAGGCACGCCAAACTTATTGGATCATCAGTCACTCCGCCCATTGCCAGGGAAACGATATTTCCCTACATATTAGCAGGTGCGTCTACCTGCTGAATGGTTCACATTTATTTAGGGCTGATTCAGACAACTTTCCTTTTCTTTCTGATCATGGAAGATATGGATTAAAAAAATATATCAACACTTGCTATAAATTTTTTGTCTTTTCTGAGTTCAGTATAAGGATAATGAGTGTCTGTTTACTCTTGTTTAATTTTAACACCTTGTTTACAAACTGTGGCTCCATTCTCATTTCCTCAGCATCATTAACCCACTGGCGTCTTTGATGCTGTTGTCATCACTAAGCACAAGTTATAATGAGCTAATCATGACTGATCTTTCATCTCAGTTCCTCTGGCCTCCATCAGTGACTGGCCAACTCCACATTTCCCTTATGATGTCACCTTCTTTGTTTAAGACACCCACCTTTATGACGGAGATGTGCCAGGTGCACTTCCGGCTTGCGGTGACCAATCCAAACAATACAAATGAGACACAGGCCTGTTTGTGAAATGTGAAAAATACGGGTGAATATAATGTTTAAGAGGAGACACAATCATTAGTGTTGGATTCTTGAATAGAGATCCATTTGTTTAGTTTAAAATTGTTTTGAGGACTTTGAAATGATACAGCAGACAACACTTAAGCTGATACTAAATGTATGAGTGTTAGGCATGTCACTATTTATTAAAATAAGTTTATCTTGTTGACAGTAATATATTGACACAAGACTCTTGATCGGTGCCACTGTAGATGAAAATATTGTTGTTAGATGAAAAGTTGTTAGATGAACTTGTATTTGCGGAAGTTAGTCCTTGAGAATGGTATTTTTCACACTCCCAAAAACAAAAAAAGTAAACTTTATTGGGCTGTTACTATAACACCAAAAACAGATTTATCTTTCCAACAATTGGTCCATTTATGCATGTTAGGTATTTTTTTTAGGTCTGAATTCGAAAAGGCCCATTTTGGTCATATTTCTTCATCATTGCTGTTGGTGCAACTTGAAAGAAGCTTCAGCCTAAAAATAGAATTAGCTTCATTCATTTAATGGCAGACTCTCCAGGTACCCAGCTTTTATGTTAACAGTACCTCAAATCGTCACTGCTTAGCTTACCCAGATGAGTAACTTGTCTCACACTAACCTAAAATTTTGGATGTGCCATCCAAGTACAATCGTCAATGAGTTGCCAGTAGTTGTAGCTTTGTGGCTTCAGTGGATTTGCACTTGCTTGGTTTGTCTTAACTGTAGCACCCTCTGCTGACTGGACTATACTCTGTCTAAATTCTGCAGAATTAATGCAGTAAAACTCAGTGGATCAAGGAGAATATATTACACCATCTGGTGGACTATTGATTTTATGTTTTAGTATATCATCAACATTTAAGAAAAAATGACTAATAAATAAATAAGAAAATACAAATAAAAGTGTCAAACATGTATGTTTAACTAATGTTTTCTAAGTATCAGTGTTATTTTAGTAGGCCTATCACTGAGATACGTTTTATAGGATTTATACATTTAAATATTTGATATTTATATTTTCAATTTTAAGTTTAGTTAAAGCTTTAGTAATTCTGGTGTGTGATTTGTTATTTTTATGATTATTTTTTTAATATGTCTAAATAGTTTTCATAGATGTTTATTGTCCTGGCTATAGTTGAAATAAAAATAAGCTCACGTTTTTCTCTATTTTATTTCACTAAACGTTTATTTTAATGTCAAGTAAAAAACAACAAACAAGACAAAAAACAAACAAACAAACAAAAAAATAAAATAATAATAAATGGTTTCATTTTTTAACTATAATAACCTTGCTAAGTATTTGATTAAAGGATTTAAGACATGACAAATTATTATTATTATTATTACGTTTACATTTAGTCATTTAGCAGACGCTTTTATCCAAAGCGACTTACAAATGAGGACAATGGAAGCAATCAAAATCAACAAAAGAGCAATGACAAGTCTCAGTTAGATTAACGCAGTACACGTGGCAAGGTTTTTTTTAATTACATAATAAAAAGAAAAGAGATAGAATAGAAAAAGAATAGAGCAAGCTAGTGTTAGAGGCCTTTTTTGCTTTAATGTTAATTGCATAATAAATAAAAAGAAAACAAATAGATAGAATACAAAAAGATAGAGAAGCTAGTGGTAGTTTTTGTTCAAAGAAAACAAGCAGTTAGTAAATAAATAGAGTGCAAGTCTAAAAGGGACACTTTTTTTAAAGAATAGAATTAGAATAGAGAGTGCTAGAGTTAGAGGGTCAGATAAAGATTATTATTATTATTATTATTACAGGCGATGTAGGACAATGCACCTGACACGTTGTAGCATCTTTGCCACTAGAGGGTAACCTCATACAGTACCTATGTTAGCGCTACAGGCTACACTCAAAGCAGCTTATCTGCCTGTCCTATATTTATAAAGTCCTCTTCCAACACAACCTTCAATTCATTTATCCTTTTACTTCATAATTACTCATTCCTCTGGTTAGCGCGCTTCGAAAACATGAGTGTAGCATCAGAGACATATATCTGCTAAACATATTCAGGCCGACTCATCTTTCATTTTGCATGGGAAGAGGCTGTCTGTACACGCGTACCTCGGCCCTCACGCCCACGATGCAGTCATTGGACGACGACAATAACGGGGTGGGGTTTCGCAGACACTTTGGACAATTTGATTGGACAACACTTACGCGAAGGCGGGGCCCATGACGCCACTGTCCTCGGACTAGAGAAAGACGCCATTTTGTTTTTTAGCGGTGAGGTGGAGAACCGGAAAAATTGTAGCGAAACTGCACCAAAAGGTAAATAATGCCGTAACGACACATTTCGCGTTGTCATTCTGACGTATGTCACACAGAGGTCTTTTAATGTATCTGTCGTCTACATGTATCCAAGAGAAACAGTGGCTTCTTTTAAAGAATGATCATTTCAGTCAGGGAGGCTAGCAGGCTAACTAACGGATGTTTGCTTAGCTGATGTGGAACTGCACAACCAGTTCGCGTCTACTTATCCGAATATACAGACACTTTCAGCGCACCCTTTTCTCGTAAACATGTTTTTTTACCGTCTTCAAAACTGTATAGTTCGTCAGGAGTGACCGGGGTAAATAAGTAGCAGTGAAGTAAACAGTGGAGCGATCTAGTTATCTCGCCTGCGCTCTTAGCACATAGCAGGCGACAAGGCGTCGCTCGCGACACAAGCAGAACGCTCCCTTCATAATGAACGGCTCCTACGCTGACAGTCTGCATAGATTATGAGATCTAGTTGGTCTCTTAGCTAGCAGTGTAAACGTAAATGAATGAGGAATTGAACGAATGAATAGATCACAGTGACTCAAAGTCAGCATTACAGTTACTGTGCGTATTCTGTTAGTGCGAATGATTGTTAGGCCGTGTTTCTGAGATCGCTCCTTTCGTCGTTTCTATCGCTTTATTTCAATTGTGAAGTGTTGCGTCTGTTTTTACGAGTTCACCAGAAATTACGTTATGCCTGTATAATTGTTGGTAACCTTATGCATGTCTAAAGCGGTTTGCTTTTTGACAAGCGAGAACAGGATTGATCCAGTCTTTTGCATCATAGAAAACAGAGTATGTGGGGAAAAAAGAACAGTGATAGGATGACATCTTTCATTTGTCTGCAGAACTAGCAGGTGCCAAACACCAGGTTTCCACTGTAATGTATGAAGGAATCGATTCACTCGAAGTGTAGTTGTAGTTCGCTGTAAATGATGATTCTTTTAACCTCCATTCAGTTCTAGGTCAGATGAGAGAACTGGATCTGTTTTTATACTTGTGGTTGTACCGCTTCTGTTGAATTGTAAGGTGTTTCGTAAGCAGCCTCCCAGTCACCCTGATTATAAATGACTGGCGTGTTGATTTCTAGTTAGAAAGCATTTCTCGCTATAATTGGCTGTCTGTCGCAACATTGAAACTGTGGATGGGATCAGATGTTGTCATGTGATTTTTTTTTTTCTTCTGCTCTTGAATCTGTAATGCTCTCACTTCCTAGTATGCCTGATAAAAATGGGTTGTCGTAACCATTTCAGTCTTTGATCTTTTTGCACGTTTGAAGAGCATTTTCATTCTAGAATGACTGGCGTGTTGATTTCTAGTTAGAAAGCATTTCTCGCTATAATTGGCTGTCTGTCGCAACATTGAAACTGTGGATGGGATCAGATGTTGTCATGTGATTTTTTTTTTCTTCTGCTCTTGAATCTGTAATGCTCTCACTTCCTAGTATGCCTGATAAAAATGGGTTGTCGTAACCATTTCAGTCTTTGATCTTTTTGCACGTTTGAAGAGCATTTTCATTCTAATATCTTGCATGTATCAAGAGTGTTTAATCTCACTTGATTGACTCATTAGAGATCTGGATGTATTTGACACCTGGTTTGTTTTTATGTTTTTTGTACATTACCTAAAAGTACATGTTTATGTACATGATGACTCTGCTGGATGGGAAGGTGTTGATTTCTCTCATTACGAGTTGTTAATTTGCCAGAGTTTGTAAAGCATTCTGTCTTTCATGCATAACTTTATTCATCAGTATTTAGATTGACTTTATTAAGGTTTTCTAATAAAAGCTAAGTCTTAAGAGTTTCTGTTTAAACATTTGTAAAACTGTTGTCACTTTTTTTTTCATTTTCATTCCCAAATATCAGGAATGTTGTTTGCTGATACTCCCTGCAGGGTATATAAACATTTTCTGTGTGTAAGGTGTTTAGGGAAAGTCAGTTATAGTAAATGTTAGCAGACAGCTGCTGGAGTTGCACAGGAGAAACACAATTTACACTACTGTTCAAAAGTTTGGGCTCAGTGAGATTTTTTTTTAATGATTTAAATAAT